ATCTACACTCTCTCCATAGAATAAAATTTATTCTACACCTATTCTATACAATAAATATACAATTTGTTTTTGTACCCGTAAAAATCACGTAAATATTAAAGTAGCTTGAAAATTTAAAACATTATGACATTTAAATATTCATTTCTTGACAGATTAATTTACAATTTGACTTTTTGTTTTTAGAAAAATTACCATTCGAATGTGAAATTTTATTTATATTGTTTCTAATTTCACTAAAAAAAAAATTTGAGCGAACAGGAAAGTAAAAACAAAATGCGCAACTAGTATTTTTATTCTAAAATATTATGACAGATATTGAGTTAAAATTTATGTGAGTAAATCATATCAAAATTCATTGTTATTATTACAAGCTAACTAAACTGTCGCCATAAAAATTATATTATTATGTATAAAAATATTAGGTATTTGATATTATGCTTGTCTCTTTCTAAAATATACTCATTTTTGAGTGGTAATCAGTTTGAAGTATTCATTCATATTATGAGTGAAAAAACAAAATCAAAATAATGCGTATAAGTTTTTTTTTAGTATAATTAGTGTTACCGTTACTATGTTATTACTGTGTTTTAAATTTTTAAATGTATTTTAGTTATGTACTCGTATATTAGTTTATTCTTAATTTAATGGAAGAAAATACTAATTAAAATTATTTTATACTCATTTAGAATCTTAAATACTGAAGCTCGTTTTTGCTATTATTTTAAATGAGATTGAAGCAATGGCTTGAAATTTTGTTATACAAATTTCGTTTCTCTCTGTAATGACTTCTGTAAACAAGCCTCTACTTTTTTTTATTGATGAACGCCTTGTTGTTCTTATTTGATTTACGAATTTACTTAAATATCTTCTGAATAGTTTTATAGGAAAGCCACTGTGAGATCTTTCATTCATAATATTCATTTTATATTATTATATTCAGAAAAAAGCAAATTTCCAGCAATTTCTACTATACAGTAATACCCCGTGTTACGTACGCTCGTTTTACGTACCCTCGCACTTACGTACATCTCATTTTTGTCCCCAATTGCCCATTATACGTACAATGATTCACACTTACGTACAAGTACATTTTTTCTGGTTTTGAAATTTATGGAAAAAAAAATTATGTATACCAAATTGAGAATGTACACTTGTAACAACGTGTTTTTGTATGTCTGTACATTATTTCTATGAAACCTAAATTTTGTTATGAGTGAATGCATGTAGAAACAAGTCAAAACAAGTCAATGAAGATGAAGATGATACATCATTCTCTACATCATGGAGCAATTAAATTTGAATTACTGTTATCCTCAGGAAAGCTGTCCAAAATTATTTTGTTTTTTTAATACACGTTAAGTGTTAAATATAGTATAAAAACGTATGAAATAAAAGTATAAAACTGCATACATAATATCCCTCTTTTTCTTTTTATTTATATATTTATTGTTTTAGTTTGTTTCAAACATATTATTCATCAATAAAGTAGTAGATTCATTCTACGTACATTTTTGTTTTACGTACAGGCTCCGGTCCCAAAGGGTACGTAAGTGCGGGGTATTACTGTATAGAGTTAATGTATGGCATTACTTCTTCAAATTTCAAATGACAATTGAATTTGAGTCACATAATTTTTCTGCTCTTTTAATTTTTTGAGTGAAATTATTTCCCCTTAAATTGGGTCTAAATAATAACAAATATGAAATACTATTTGTATGTAGCATTAAAAAAATAAAAAAAAATATTTGGGTCAATAAAAAAATTCTTTCTAAATATAGAGAGAGGGAGAGAGAGCGAGAGAATGAGAAAAAGAGTTATAGAAGATGAGGAAAAACGTCTAATACAATTGGAATTCTCGTTAAGCATGTGCTTCGCTGATATGAGATTATAACGGTTGTTGTATTGTGGTGTTATGATTTTATGAGCGGCCATTCTTGATTTTTTCGTGATAAGATGAGCTTTTTTATTTATACTATTCTATATTTTTGTTTTTATATTTAATTTTGTATGTATTTAAAAATCTTATGTATATGTAATTTATGCACCTGGAGTTGTATCTACATATATTTTATGTATATACGTATGTATATGTACACCCTCGATAAATTATTTGTATGCCTACATATTATGTTTGTTTGTATGTATGTACGTATGTATGTATAAACGTATTTGAAATCAAGATGTCAAAAATCAAATATGAATGAAAGTTCAATCTTATTCATAAAATAGTGAGAACAAAAATAGATACGAAAACTTTTTTAATAAATTTAATATTAAAAGCTTACACTAGATGGAGTAAAAATATCATTTGCACTTTAATTGTTTTGTTATAAAATTGAGATGAAATAGAGACATTTAAAGAGACTATAATATAAAAAATAAACATGGGAATGAACCAGAAGCTTTTCTGATATGTTCTAAAGTTCTTCTTTTTGTCGAACATTTTAAAATTTTCTCGAATTACATATTTTAGTTAAATTTAACGATTTTGTTATAAAATTAAGTATAGTATATAATTATTTATAAATCCGAATGTTGAACATGTTGGATGATTTATAAATTAATGTTATACTATAAATTTTTTGTTATACTAAAAAGTTGCATTGTAACAAATAATTTTTCAATTTTAAATTCGCTCCACTACTTTTTTACGTAATTAAGTGGAATTAGTTTTCAAATTTTTTTTTCTAATACTACTCGTATTTCATTTTTCGAACGAGACTCCGGAATAGAATCTTAAATTTTGTTTTTCCTAAACGTAATGCAATAGTTTTGAATTTTTAGTTAATACTCCACCCCCATTCTGATTTCGCTTCAAAGAAAAATTTTGAAATTATAATTCAAGTTATATTTAAAAGAAAGTAGCCTTTCAATATCCCACTTATAATATTCCGGTCCAAGTAAATATCCGGATATGTCTCTCAGAGAGTTGAATCTGAACTCTCCAATAAAGAGAAAATCTCGCTCAAATCATTTGCATCTTCTGAAAGGCAGAGCAGTACTACAGTCAAACAAAATATGTATAGTTGTCTACTTATCGTTTCGGCAGTATGAGAGAGTGTAAACAAGGCGAATCTCTGTCCCAAACTATCTCAAATTTTTCTTTGTAAAAAGTGCGAAGAGGAAAATACATAATAATTTTGCAAGGGTTCATAAAATGTTCGCGTACATTCACCAAAATGAGAAAGAGAATTGGTTAGCAAATGGGAGAATTGGTTCAAAATTATACTTTTTCTCTTTCTACTTTCGAATTTCAATTAATTTTGACATTTTAGCGAAAATCTTAAACTTGAAATTTGAGATTTGAGGCAAATGAAAAAAAAAAAAATAAATTTCTTTTATTTTTCCTAAATTCTTTCTTATATTTTAAAATTTTTTATTATATGATAAATTACAATTTATATTACAGAAATAAATATATTAACTTTATTAAATTTATAGTATTTTATTTATTTTTTGTTATACATAAGGTATTTTTATTTTTTTTTTCAATGTAAACATTTAATGATTTTAAATATTAATTTTATATATGCAAACATTTATTTATTTTTATCCTGTTCCTAAAATTCTATTTAGATAAATATTTTATGTAAAATTAATAAAAATAATTAAAAACAGGAATTATATTTTATAAAGTGTTATAATATATGAGCTGCCTTTCTTTAATTTTTAAATATTATAAAAAATCTGTTATTAATTTTATTATATATTCAGTAGATTTCTTAAAAACTGTGCTACAAAATTGCATATAATCTTTGCAAAGTGCCATTGAATTAGTAAACCTGCAGCAATTAAATTTTGGGATATATAGATAATGACATTAACTGAAATTGACAACTGATGACGTTACTGTATTAACGAATTTCTTATTGTTGATACTAGGTGTACAAGAATTGCAGGAAATTTTTAAATAAAACCAATTAGACCCACATATAGCAACAAAATCCATTATATACCAAAAATTAAATATACAAAATCAGAATTTACAAATTATAGGCAAATATTTTAAATATTTTAATTTTATTAATTTACAATTTATAATTGAATAGATTAAAATTTTAATCGTTTATAATACATATAATATCGTTTTTTTTTTTTTCAAATATTTTATATTATAAATTGGAATTGCAAACGTTTTTAACAAAATAATCAAATATTTTAACTGTCTTATGGAGTTATACATACATATTTATATTTCATGTATAAATGAAGACATAAGTGACTGAATTTTTTAAAGATCTCGAAACAGAATGGAAGGGGGCTGAAGATTTGCAATATACAATCATAATAATTTCTATATAATTAATCTAGATCAAGGTTTCCATCACATCAACTGTCAAGTTAAGTCTTGTTGACACTAATAGAATCACTTATCATACGATTAGACTGAATTAAATGTCAGAATATGCCAGATAATTAACAATTGATTATTATCAATTATATAACAAAATAAAAAGTGTGAATTGTCAATGTCAGAAATCTTAATTCAGTTACAATTATGTCTTCATGTCAAAATTTTAGTTTTCTTTCTCTAAATTTTAATATGTAACTTTAGGTAATTATCGTAAATAAATTTATTATTTTTATTTTTTATACATATATAATATTTAATTACATACATACGTATAATACAATAATATAATAATGCAAATAAATTTATTTAATAAAATTTAATTTTATTTTAAAAATTTTTATTGATTATTTTTTATTATTTTAAATGTAAGTATAGGTATATTTAATTTTTCTTAACAAATTTATATTTATTATATAATATGATAGATATATATGTATATAAGTTTGTATAGGTAAATATTTTTTACCAAATACCACAATAACTTTTCTTTTTCTATTATTTTTTTTTTTATATTTCCTGTTTTGTTTTTTTATATTTTTCGATATAAATGAAATTGCATTCGTTGTCTTAAAATTAGGTAGTAAAATATTCAGTTTTTTAATGTTCTCCTGTTATATAATATTATTTTATGTATACATATGTGGATTTACATATATATTATACATATACTTATGTAAATTAATAATATATAATTTATTAATTTGAATATACAAATAAAAATTTTTGGTTAAATAAATGCATAATAATATATTGCGTACTGTTAATACAGAGCCGGATTTCTTATATGTTAGAGGCCTTAGGTTACCGTTAAATTATGAGAATAAATGGGAGATGAGCATATTACATAATGTGTTTTCAATAAAATTTGTCCATAAAAATTTATGAAATAAAATAAAATTTAAATTGAGTTCTTCCAGGTTTTTAAGAAATTCGTTCATGAGAACAAGAAAATTTTGTATTCAATTTATGAATTTCTTTGGGTGGTAAATAGAATTTTTAAAACTTAATTAAAATAGAAAGCAAATTTTTCATGTGTATACAGCAACGTACACAATTTTGGGGTCTCCTAAGCTCTTGTTTAGCCTTTGTAATAGATCCGGCTCTGTGTGCATTTTCAATGAAAAATTTGTAAAACTGAAAATATTGTTGAAAAATTGTGATAACAAAAAACATTTTTCTCAAAAATTTTGCAATATATTTTTAATTTTTGAAAAATTTATGTTTATAATATTATATAATATGTAATTTGCATAATAAGTCAGTAAATGCTTTATTTATTATTAAATAATTAAATATCTTATATCATAAAAATATATATCCATCTCTTTTATTTTCTTATATATAAATTTTATAATTTTTTCTTCTTCTTCTTCCAAAAAATAACATTTTATTCTATTTTTTATTTTCCCAAACCCATCCACATATAATTTGGATCACTAAAATGTGTGCCATGACCATGATAACCTTCTGGTGTCATTGAAACTAATGCTCTAACTTTTTGTGATGGTCTATACGTTCTTATTGCATGTAAAAATGCAGCTGTACCAGTTGGTTTTGTTTGTCCACCGCTATCTGTCATTACTTCTGTTTTAATATTATCGGATATTTTTCTTAAATGATCACCTTCCATAATATCAATTGCATCTGGATTAAAATTACTTTTTTCCATAAAATCAACATTATTTTTAAGTTTATCGAAAAAATCACCAAGATTAGTCATTGCTCCTACAAAATAAAAATAAATATTCAAAAAAAAATTATTAATAATATTATAAAAATTTTTTTTAAATTTTATATTTAAATAAATTTTAAATAATTAATTTGAATAACATAATAATTTCAATTATAAAAATTTTAAGCCCGGCTAGCTCAGTCGGTAGAGCATGAGACTCTTAATCTCAGGGTCGTGGGTTCGAGCCCCACGTTGGGCGAAATAATAAATTATTTTATTAAAAAAAAATATGAAAAATAAAAATTGCAGAGTTCTTACAAATACTACGTTTGTTTGAAGATCTAATTTATTTTGGAAAATAATTGAATAGTATATAGCGTAAGATTTTTAAATCATTTATTTTTAGGCTCATGAAACGATTAATCACATAAAGTTACGTGAAAATTATTTGAAAACCAGGAGGAAAACTAAACCTAAATATGTTATTCAAAATTTGCGGGACATTTGAAGGAGTTAATCTTCATTAAAATAAATTATACTAAAAACATTATGCACTTTAATTAAGGACAGTGTTGCCAATTTTGTCTCTAATTGTATAATATTATAAAAACAGGTGCAAACTTTAAATTTAAAGAAATTTATTAACCTACTTGTAAAATGTTTTTCTTTAATTCAAATGAGAATTTTAAATCTCATTTATTTGACTGAGTATATAAGAAGTATATTTGCATAATCATCCACATTATATACATTTGTATGTATGCATATTTGTTTATTACAAATTTTAAGTGGTAATTCCAAATAGCAATCAAAAAAAATTTTTTTTTTGCGAAAATGGCAATGGCAACTTACATTGATCGTATTTATTTACGTTAAAGCTTTAAGCTTTAATTATTTTTAAAAATTTTAAGATTTTTATCATTTGATTTCAAAAAAAACCAATATGGCACAATAAAGCTTTTTTAATTCTCTCTTTTATTATAAAATTGCTATTTTGTTGTAATTCTCGAATTACTTAATCATTTATAAATATTTTTAACGATAATTTTCTAATATTAGATAACATTTTTTGATATATTGTGCCGACTTTAAAATTCTTATAAAATATAAAATGGCGCAACAGCCCGGCTAGCTCAGTCGGTAGAGCATGAGACTCTTAATCTCAGGGTCGTGGGTTCGAGCCCCACGTTGGGCGAGCATAAAATATTTTTTTTAGAAAATTAATAAAATGAAAAAAAAAAATATTCCAAAAAAAATTTTTTTTAAGAAAAAATTTTTATTTTTCATTGCAGGTTAGAAATAATGAAGTGAGTGCACATATGTTCACACATTTAATGATGAATAACATATACATACATGCAAATAGAATTGGATGAAATTATCAAATTTATTGAACATGTCATTATTGTTGCTAAGACTGAATTTATAATACATATTTTGTGAGGTATGTAGGTTGTATATATAATAACATATACACATATGATATATGCAAGCATATGCGTACATTTGTATATACACGATTAGTAAGAAAATTAGTCTATTTTTAAAATATTTTTCAAAGCACTTTTAATTTTTCAATTGTTTTGTATGGCATACAAGAGCATTGTTATTTTGTGATGACATTGAAATGTTTTGCGGTAAACCTGTAGTGATTCCTTTTCTATTGTCAACACTTCCTAACTTTGGAAATGCTTTGGTACTTGTTGAACTTTTCCTAAAAACTTATAAAGTAAATATTAAATTTTATGAAATTTTTATGTTCAATTCAAAATTCTCAAATTTCGCACTACAAATTAAATAATTATCATCAGATTTCCCAAAAATATTTTACTTTTGAGAAGATGCGAGAGGGATTTTAGAGCAATTATTTAATTTTTAATTAAACTTACCAACACTTACTGATGGTACAAATTGAGTTTGATGTGTTTTCAATTTTTGTCTTGTAAATCCAATCGAATTATGGGATTTACTATCTGGTTCATTAAAAAATTGCATACGACTAATTCCACCACCTACACTAGTTCCACCAATAATACCAGCACCACTACCACCGCCACCAATCTCTTGTTTTCGATCAACTAAAGCCCATGGTTTACGACCATCTTTACGATTTCTTAACATTTTCATCCATACTGGTGGTGCTGTTATCCTTTTATTATTGAATATATCTTGAAAATCTTTAAAATTTTCATTATTAAAATTAACAAAATATTTATTATTTGTATCATCATAATTATTATTACCATTATAATCTTCACTGTCATCGCCATCACCATTAAAGGAATTAGATGAAATTTTATTTTTAACATTTAACCTTTCTCCATGGAACGGATAAGAATTTAAATAAAATTTTATTTTTTTATGTCCAATATTTTCATCTGTATTACCATCATTATTATTACGACCATATCCATCAATTCTATTATCAGTAATACCTATACCTTGGTTAACATCATCACCTCCACCACCACCTCCATCATCTCTACCACCACCACCATCATCATCAATACCAATAAACAATTTATTTGTTGGTTTTTCAGATGATTTCGAAAATATTCGTGATGAAAACGGTGGCCTTCTTTTCTTTTTCTGATGGTATTCTTTTAAATATAAAAATTCATTTGGGTTGAAAATTTTATTGATTTCATTTTCAGAAATTTCTGTTGATGTAAAATTTTCATCAGTAGGTAGAATTGTATCGGGATCTTCTTCTATTGGATTTTTATTGTAGGTGTATTGTAATTTTGATTTTGATAATGAAGATAATGGTGTTTCATTATTATTATATTTTGAATCAATATTAGAATTGGTTGGAGCAATTGTTGCAAATTGTAAGGACCAAAGTGGTACATCGGCAAGTATAACTTCCCGTTTTTGTTGATGAGAATATTTCAATTGTTGTTTATTTACTTTAATTTTTGATTTTTCCTCTTCTTCTTTTGATGTTGTTTTTGTAGCTGTTCTTGTACTGCCTGATTTTAGTGCTGGTATTGATGATGCTGATATTGATGGTATTTGTATATTTTTACCATTGATTTTATATTGATCATTTAGAATATTTTCAATATTTTTATTATTATTATTTTTATTTGATAAATGATGAAAGCTTTCTGAATTAAAATTTTCATAATCAAGAGGATATTTTAAGTTGAAAGTAATTAACGGTAGAGATGAATTTTTTTTTGTATTTCCTTTTAATTCCTTTGAATTTTGTTCACCTATTAAAGACAAATCATGTAAATCAAATGGATTATGTTTTAGTTGCTCGGCCTGTTCTGGTAGCTCTTGTTTTTGTTCTTGTTTTCTCTGTTGGTGTTGTGGTGGTTCCTGTCTTATATGATGTTGATGCTGACGATGTTGATGATGTTGTAATTCATTTTTTGTTTGATGATTTAAAGATGCAAATGGTGGTTGAGCATGAACTGAACAACAAAATTTGTTGTGGGTGAAATTGAAATTGAAAAAAAAAATTAATATGAAAATATTTTAATAATTTAAAATATTTAAGAAGGAAAAAATTTAATTAGTATTTTAAGGCAAAAGAAATTTACTTGCTATGCAATAAAAATCAAATATGAAATTACGTCATATCTGATCTGCCTGAGATGGTGATTAAATTTTATTAATGTTGACTCTAAAGGTTAAAAACTAAATTAGTTGAAATTTAAAATTTTTATAAATTGGTTGAATATAGGGGGATAAGACTATGTTGTTTTCACAAGGAAAAGAAGTTTTCAAAGAAAAAGTTGTGTATTTTGTTTAAAAAAAGTTTTCGGGAATAATACAAACAATCAATTATTTTGAAAAGAGAACTTTGACTTCATGTTTGGAAAGAATTTTTCTGAGAAATATTCAAAATGAGGTGGGCTATAGAACAGTGACCTTCTTCTACATTAAATGCAAATTTTGAATTTTAAAAGAATTTACACTATAGGTGTTATACTTTTTGTTATACAATATTATAAATTGAGTGCGAATTTTCTTTCTTAAAACCGTGTATTTTCATAAATTTTCTTGCGTATTCTCAAATAACCTAGGGTATTTTACAACCTTTGAATTCTAATACCCTAGTATATTATATCTTCTACTAATTTAATGTGATATTTGTGTATATAACAGAATGGTTTACAATAGAAAAGACCTTTAAAGTCCTAAAATTTTTATACAAAAATTTTTAAATCGAGTTGATTTAAAAATTTCTTAACAATTAAGACGAAAAGTAATATTTTGCAAAATTAATTTTTCAAAACTGTTATACACATTATCTGCGGTATAAAACAATAAAAACGGTGAAAATTACAAAATAAAAATTATTTTTTTTTTAAAATTAAAGCAGATTTTTCATTCTTTAAATTAAAAATTATCCTACGCTTTTCACTTGATTAGCACAAAAATTTTCTATGAAAAAATAAATATTTGTTATATTTAAAAAAAAAAAAGAAGAAAAAAAAACAAATTAGTTATTAAAGGGGTTTTTTTTTCACTGCCAACTTTAAACCAATACCCTTTGTTCTGTATATTGCAAGACTAATTATCTAAATTCCAAATAATATTCCATAATTATAACAAGGATATACAAGGATTAACTCATGTAATCCAGTAAATTTTGATAAAATTAGAAAAATACTGTTATTTTTTTTTATGTTTTTAAAGTGAAATTTTAAAAACAAATGAAAATTTTTACAGTTGGTCATTACAACATTCAGATATTGAATAAAATATACAATATAAATCACTATATACTCACTCACATTTCAATACAAAGAAAGGCAGTATTTACGATAGACTTACGAACATTTTTCTGTCATCATTTCAGGGAAATAATCTTTCACGTTAAAAGTTTCTATGAAAATTTTACGATAACATCATTTATGCGTGATTTACCATAGTCGGAAGCTGACAAGAAAATTACAGAAAATGGTGATTCCGCCTTTGTGGGAGTTGGGAAACATTATCTATAATGGAGGAAACTAAAAAAGGGTGCAACTTGCTTTAGAATGTCGGTCGGACTTGGTGCACTCTCGGGCCGCGCACGTGATATCTAATGAACCTCGTCAAGAGACTTGAATAGATTTATTAGGGAGAAGTGTGTTGTGGACGAATGCCGATTAGGCTTCTATTGGTCTAGAATTGGGTGATAGTTATAAAATATTTTTTATAAAATTCTGTTACTCATTAGACTAAAACAGTGTCGTCATATCATAGTATTTTATATTTTTTACAGATCAGTATATAAAGGGAACTCCCGGCTCCTTACTATTCTAATTAAAATTTTACTCCTGCCTACATTATAAAATTTAAAGAGAAATTTATTATAACATCCCAATTTTCCTAATATAAGCGTAAGATTTGTTTATTTAAAAGAGAAGAGTATGAAACAATATAAAAATATAACTTTTCATTCGTTCAAGAGGGGAGCAAAATTTCAATTAAATTTTATGTTAAACCGCAAAAAATATTTATACAATATAAAAACAGAAAGGAAAAAAATATAACTGTTAACTTACATGGCCAAAATAATCTCCCCCGTATACTTAAAATAAAGATAAAAATTTCAATACGACCTTTGCATTTATAATATTATATAAGTTAAAGACATTCGCACAGCAATAATTCTCACACATATCCACACATGGCGTTTACTCATATATATGTATATATGAGTAAACTCTGTATCTAAAACAATTAAATTAACATTTTACCTGTTTGTATTCATTTGAGTGCTATAAAAACAAAATGTCTCATACGTTTTATTAGAGAAATTTCCTGTTAAAAATTAAACTTAAACATATAAAACACAAGGCTATGAATGAAGGTATATATATGGAACGCCTTATGCATGATCTTCAAAGTTCATCTAAAATTGTCTATAAAATTAATTCGTTAAAATTTTTATTTCCTCATTATTGGTTATAAAAACAAAACAAAAAAAAAGAACTTTTTTCTTTTCCACCATAGCAATCAACAGATCAAAGTGTTAAATAGTTCTTGATGCCAGAGGACGAGAATATTTCTAAAGTTTTTAATTGTTCTTCTTCTTCATGAATAACATATGTTACACGTATTTGTAATTGAGTGCAATATAATATTATAGGTGCATAAAAATGATGCTTACACGTAAAACTATTATTAAAGTGCACTTATTCAATTATTATAGTGCATTCTCATTTTGATAGTATAAGTGTTGCCGTTTAAAATTTCTTTCTAGTTGAAGAGCATTTCATTTCGATGTTTGTTTCTTTTTGGTTTTCTTGCTTTGAAATTTTAAAGTTTTAAGGTGCTAATTTTTTATAATCACGTAAATTCAACTCTTCCTATATGAATTTTGTACCAGCACAGGAAGGCAATTATTTAGACAAACAAGATATTCTGATACTCATTTCCCCCCAATTTTTCTTTTGAAATATGGGAAATTTTTATATTTTCTTTTAATAATCTTAAAATTTACAATTATTTTTATATAGGCAAAAATTTTATTTAAAATATTTTTCAAGAAAACATTTTTAGCAAATGAAAATCCTGTTTACCCCCCGATTACTGATTCTCATTTGTTTATTAGAAAAGTACTCGGAATATGATTGCGATTGATTGATTTTTATGTCCGTTTTAGTAATATTTTTTTAATATTAACAAAATCAAAAATATTTCTAATTTATAAAAGAGCAAATTTATGACATGTAACAAATATAAATTGTTTGAATATTGCAAGTATTTCCGCCAATTACCGTGAATTTCATTAATTGTCATCGAAAAAGGCAACACTTAAATACAAACATACAAAATGTAAAGGAGTAGGCACTTGTTTTTATTTATACGTTATGATAAATTAAACTTTAAATTTTTTGAATTAAAATTGTTATACTCGTATAATTAATTTAACTGTCATTTACTAATGTTATTTATTTAGTATAACATTAATTTCTGTTAAAAACATTTTTAATTTATTCGTTAAAATTCTACAATTAAAAATTTTGTATAAAAATATTATATAAATAAATTTTGTAAATGTTATACATTATTAAAATATTAACTGTAATATGATATTTTTATAATTATTTCAAATGTACCTACGCCCATACACCGCCTTTTATGCATTAAGAAATGCTTTAATCATCAAAACATTTTTGAAATGAAAAAAAAATTTTTGTTATTCAGGAAATAATATAAAATTCACGGGAAAATATTAATGTTAATTTTTTGAATTTGAAGTGTAAGTAAATATGAAAGTTTTAAATACACCATAATTAAACATCAAAAGCATGACGTCAACAAATTATTATTGCGGTATTAATGTGTATAACAAAAAATGACTTTATAGTTCGTGTACTAAGATTATTGTAAAATTCTTCAGAAATTACATTTGAGCGGTACCTACCAGGTATTACTCATATTATATTGAAATAGGATGTTTGCCCAATAGCTGTTAATTAAAATAACAATTTCCCATTTCGGTATCTCTTTGAGAGAGAAAGGGACATTTATAAAAGTTATCATATTTTTCATGTGATATTAAAGAGTAGCAAACATTTTTAAAATCTAAGTCCAAAGAATTAAAAATTTAGAATCTTAAGGGCCAAAATACAAAAAAAACATATTATTGCATACATTTAGGAGGATTGTTAAAAGGATACAGATATCTACTAGCAAATCAAATATTCCTACAATATTATATGAATTCGTTCTATATATTTGAAAGAAATTATTATTGCAATTTTCAAAATAGCATTTAAACCCACAACACCGCACCAATATGCACAAATTGAAGCTATAAATTGGTAAGTATGTATGTATATGTATTCCAAACATTTTATGCATATTGAAAAATTCTTACCTACTGATTGTAAATTTGGAAACACAATGCTTGTTATTTAATATAACGTTTTATTTTCATGTACATGTGTATACACACATGTACATGAAAATAAAAGATAAGAACATAAATGAAATTAAATATTCAAAAAATTTAATGCAAAAAAAAAAATACAATTTTAGGTCAAATTATTATGGAAATTTTGACATTATTTATTTTTTTTTTTTATTAATCAGTGAAATGAATTTTAAGTCATACTTGCGGCAGAATTTTGTTTAAAATGTATATAAAATTAATAGAAGCTTAAATAAGAAGCCGAAATAGCTCAGTTGGGAGAGCGTTAGACTGAAAATCTAAAGGTCCCCGGTTCAATCCCGGGTTTCGGCAAACATTTTTTTTTTTCAGGTTTTCATTTTTTTTTTGTTTTTTTGCATAGCTTAATTTGAGTTTAATGCAAAATTTGAATTATTTTTCATTAAAATTTCATTGCGGGTGTTGAAATAAAATTTCCACAAATTTTAAATTTTCCAAGTAAAGTATGATTAAATCGATCCATTTAATTAATAATTAGTCAAAATTAAAGGGTTCAAAAAAAATTTAACTCATATTTCG